ACCTTGGTGCAGATGTCGAGGCACATGATCAATAGTGGGTCAACAACCCTGTTAAGAAACAATTCACTAGGGGTTACATATCTGGGACTCTCCACCATTTGTGTTGATTCATGCTCAATCATCCAGGTAAGGAAATCCCAAAAAGTTAATTCTGTTCTTCTGGATGTAGTGTTTTCAGTGGGAGAAAAGTTTTGCCACTCACCCAAGTGACTTCTTCAGTGTCAGAAGTCACAGACTGAAGAAGTTGCTGTAGACCATCTGTTTCCAGGTCAAATGAGTTGTGCTTTCAGATATGCTCTTCTGCGTAGCTTGTTTGTATAAATGTTTTTTTTTGTTACCTTTCTATCAGCTTGAAGCCATCTGGCCATCTCCCTCTGACATAACCAGGATTTTCACCCAGAGAACGCTTGCTCACTGGATATTTTCTCATTTCATCCCTGTAAACCCTGAAGATGGCTGTGCAGGAGACTCAGTACAGGAACAGGTGTACCTAATAAAGCGGTTGCTGAACGTATGAAGCATGAATTTACAGGACTATGCAGTAGTTTGTGCTATGTTCTTAGATTGTATAGATTTTCTGTTTGTTTTCCTATGCATATATTTTAATGAGTATTATTTTGCTTGTCTCCATTTCATCAGTTTTGATGACTCAGTCTTTAATGAGTGATGAAAAGTCTTTATTCATTCATCACAAAGTTGAAGTGCTTGACTGACTATTCATGTTCTGACAAATGTGAGAAAGGATTTGATTGTCTTTTGCAGAGGCGAGTCTGTGATATGAAAAATGCCTCAACTGTTTTCAGAACTGCATTAAGAGTGGTGAGAATTACTTCTCTGCTGTGACAACTGAGCCAAATCCATTACGAAAAACTGGAGTGAAGATTAACATTAGTGACGTAATATCCGTCAAATATGGCGGTCCGCCCAGTTGCCTTCTTTTAAAATGTGATCAGGCAGGATTGAAGACTCAAAAAGCCCAGAGACACCGGCCATAAGGTCGCTCTGCATTCAGCACTATTGACCGTTAACAGCGTTGCTTGTTTCACAGTAGCTGTTCTAATTTTCTTTCCAATTTCCGTTTTCCCTGCCAGCAAAGCTGTTCTGACTCAGTGGAACCATTAGCTAACAGCAAATAAGCTAACACAGTCAGTTCACAAAATTAGCTGACTGAATTCAGACTAAGTTTTTATATTGTAGACAATGGGTTATTCTGATGTATTTAAAATATTTATTTACTTGCATTTTTTTTGATACAATGCTCTGTATTGTATACAGATATTATAATAAAGGATAGTCTTTTAAATTTAAATAAAGACTTCTCTTGCTCAAGACCACTTAAAAAACCCCACTTACAATAAAGTCTGGCTCATTTAAATGAAATGTAAAGAAATGACAAGTGACTTGAGACTTTTGCAGTTATATAGTGAAACCAAACTGGGTACTAAAACTGGAAGTAGTCATGTGATGTGTAATGATGAGTGTACTAAAGCACTCACACACACTCAGATCCCTTACAGCACAATATTTATTCAACAATATACATTAATTTCTCTACATTTCAGACTTATGTTCATTTTTTTATATTCATCTTGCTTCACCTTTGTACATTTATTTACAAGATTTAAAATAAGTCTTTCTCCATTTATATAACATCATTAGTACAGTGTAATCACATCATCCAGCAGCTTCCCTTGAAGCATTCATAATCGCTAATCTATTTAATACACCGACTGGCGTCTTTGAGCCACAGAGCAGCAAACTGACAGAAGGGCTCAACATGCACTCAGAGTCCAGGTGTCCATGGTCCTCTTAATTCACCCATGTAAGAGAAGTCGTTTGCTCTGTAGCACCACGGCAGGGTGTATAAACAGAATCTTTGAATGGCGACACTGTTGAGGTCTTGCACCTTTAAAAATAATCTTAAATGCATGTGGCCCCTCCCACCCGACGAGGATCGGCGAAAGCCCGTCCACCAAAATAAAAAAATTAAAAGGAGAGGGTGGGGGAAATGTTGCATAGAATCAATTCTGATGTCAAGAACAGAAATTTTAGTGCTGCCATTTTTTTTTTAATGTGGCTTTCTGATAATCTCCTGAGACCTTCCAGACCCCATTTTATATATATATATCTATATATATATCTATATATATATATATATATTTATTTTTTTGGTTTTAAAAAGAAAAAATATAATAAATAGCTGTACCCTTTGACTTTAACAAAAAAAAATAGTATTGTGTTGGATGTCACATCCAACACAATGCTACTTTAAAAGAGACTAAAACCCTGCATTGAGTGTATTTGCACATAAATGGATGTCATTTCGATTACTATCTTGAGAGAGGTGGATGGATTAAAGTGCATTCTACTGTATGAAAACAAAGCCCACAGTTGTCACATGCAGGACAGGAAATGAACTTTATTTAAATAAAATATATTTTTTCCTTTATTGAAATTCAAATAGACTTAAGGATTTATAAGCTTATCTATGGCAGCTAAAATTTCCAACCACAGTCAAACTTTAACGTTCATTTCCCACCCTGATCACATGCAAATAACACTGCGTACGCACACACTCCCACACACACACTCTCGGACATTTGTCACTCTGTGGCAGCGTGCAGCACCAAAGTGGCTGCTGGTACCCCTCAGGTGAGGGGGAGTCGTGTGAATGACAAGAACACGTTAACAGTTTAAAAAACAAAACAAAAACAAACAACAGCCAAAAGGTGCCACTCGACTCACAGCAAAATACAGTAAATGGGAAAACACGGCTCGCCGAGAGCCACACAGCACGATGACAGCAGACAGTGGACCAGGTGAGAGTGTGAACTGTAGCTACTCTCCTCTCTTCTTCATCCTCCACAGTCCAGTCCAGTTCAGGAGGAGGAGGAAGATGATGTGAGGCCAAAGAGCTGACTACTGAGGCTTTTTGGCCTGAAATGTGTAAGGCTAAAGCACACACAGGACTCACTCAGGACCAGGAGCAGCAGCTGTGAGGGTTTCAAGCACAGGAGCACGAGCGTGTGGGATTTTCACTGCACACTGAACTGACTTTTATAAATATATATATATATATATGCATATGTATATATATTAATCATTCATTCTCTTTTTAAACAAGCACTTGAGCAAAACATGGAAATGCAGTACAACCGCTGACTACTACAGTACACAGACGCTTCATATACTGCTTTTATATGTGAACAGCTATACTAAGTGATGATTTTTTTTTTTTTTTTAAATGGCAAATAAAGGTGAAGCTGCATCTAAGGGCACGTTGAACCATGTGTCTAGAGATCCCTTTTTTTAAAATTTTATTTTAAAATAAGAACAGCAGACAGGAGAAAAAAAAGAAGGCATTTTTAAATTTAAGACATCCAAAGGAGGGGAAACTGAAAGTCCTTAAGGAGAGGATGCGTATCGGCACATCTGGCAAAGACGAGGACAAAACTCGGGTTTGGCTCACCGGGCATTTCATGCCAGTGAAACAGCCGGCGCTTCGCAGGGCACTAAACATGCAGACAAGCACGCCGTGCTCAAATCCCTCAGCCCGGACAGGGGGTACTACAGAAGGCCAGCGAGCACTGCGCGCAGATGCAGCCGTTTCACAGCAGAGATCTAACTCCATGTATGTGATTGAAATTGCACTTCCAAAAAATAAAAATAAAAATCAAAGCAGGGCATTTTAGGGACTTAAAATAATAACCCAAATGAGACTGATTGATATATGACAGGAAAAAAAAAGAAGAAAAGTCTGACGGTTTTTGTTTTGCAGGTAAAAACTGCACATGATGGTACTCAACTGAAATGCAAGGCCAGGATATTCAGCCACACTTGTCACACGAATGCGCACAAATCTTTACAGTGTTGTCACAGCTGCAGTGTGAAACCATTTGCAATCCTCCCAATTGGTCATCAGTCTGATTTTGAACCATTCTGCATTCTGATTGGGAGACACGTGTCTGAGTGGCAGGTGAACACACAATGAGGTAGAACAAAATGTTTTATAAGCATCCAATCAGAGCACAAAAACAGGCGGTCAGCAGTGACTGGTATACACCTCCAGAGGGCAGCACTTCACCGGCTCATACATGACGCCAACACACAAGCTTTAACACAGACCTACACGCGCACTAACGAGTGCTCTTAGATGGAAGGATCCATTGAGCGGTTTGAACCGCAAATTTAACATACAGTCAGCAAAAGTGTGCACGGTCCAATGCAGTTATTCATCGAGATTCAGATTTTAAACCAAACCGCAAGACAAAAGTCTTCCCGTAGCTGCACAGTATTTATTTCTCTAGATTTAACCATTTAAAATCTCGGGGAAGGACAAAGCCTCGCCACCCTTCCAGTTTGGTTTTACAACAATCCTATTTGTTAGATTTTACAGATTAAATGAGAATTGTTTCTGTGACAAAAAAACAGGTCATGGCCTTAACCCTAAAGAATCACTTGGGCCTGACAAACTACTGTCACACACACACACAAAAAAAAGAAAACCCTTCTTTGGACTCTGATTTAAAACATTTAAAGATCTGTTATTCATAAAACTCTCTGTCGAATTAAAACAAAAAACCCAAAAAACAGCAATTAACGAGGAAGATAATCAGCAAGAACGATTGCACGTGAGCCCCGGGAATGAAGGAGAAGGAATGAAGAGACAGACCAACCGAGTCCCCCACTCTTCTCCAAATGAGCGACGGTAAGTGTTATTGCTGATTCATTTTTGACTGATTCAGTCTGGAAAACGTAATAATCTGAAATGTCACGGATGACCTACAGCTAGCCTGAAATCCTTGCAGATCTCCTCTCGTCACAGCCTCCCTTTGAGGAGAGTTTCTATGTGGAATGCTCAGCTTGGCAGAGAGGAGGACGCAGTGACACGCTGGACTCTTACACTCGACCGTAGTTACAGCAGGAGCAGCCGGTCACGATTCACTACTTTTCACGTTGTTGTGCTGTCAGTGACTTCATCCACCCACGACGACAGCAGGTCTCAATTACAAATTTTAATGGATGTTTAACGGGGTGGAAACACAGCTCTGGAGATCTCAAATGTGTTTCAATTTCTTAGACACACACACACATACACAGACAGACGCACAGGTAGAAAGACGTCATAGTCGAGCTGTAGAGAGTCGCGGAGAGAAACTGCATGAATCTGTGTGTGTTATGTAGGTATTCGTGCGTGTGAGTGTGCGCGCCATTCCCTGCACTGGACGTTAGACCTGTGATATGATCTGCATGTTGAAGCTGGGGGAGCGTGACTGCTTGGTAAGAGGTGCTCCAGGAGACAGCAGGGCCTGAGCCTCCTCCGGCCTGAGCAGGTGTTCCTCCTGCAAACTGATGGTGGAGTGCCGGTGAGAACCCCCAGCTAGAAGCCCTTCCCTCTCAGAGCCTCCTGCCTCCTCGTGTTCCTCGCCATCGCCTCCGTTCAGGTTGAAATTCGTGCAGTCAAAGGACTTGCTGGAGGAGGTGCTGCCAGTCCTCACTAGCATGGGGCCCGCGGGGAAGCTCAGGTGCTTCTTTATGGGGCTCAGCTGGATGGCGTCCAAGTTGATGCTCGCTGGAGGCGACTGCTGCCTCTGTTGATGCCTCCTCGTGGCGGCCTGAAGATCCGCAGACAACTCCGCCTGTTTGTCTGTCTCCCGCTCTTTCTCCCGCTCCTTCTCCCGCTCTCGCTCCTTGTCCCGAGACAGTCGCGCAGTAATGGCTTTCTTGATGCTGCTCGTGCTGCTGTTCAGGCTGCCACCCCTGGGCCCCACGCTGCCGCCAAGCTTGGTGCCGCTGGGCTGGCTGCTGTTCGACGCCCCAGAGGAGAAACCCTCGTCTGGGTCGTTGATATTGAAGGAGTCCTCCCCGCCGCTCATGCCATCAGCGTCTGAATGTGACGATGAATGAACATAGACAGAAGAAAGCAAAACAAAAGCAAAGAGAAATGTGAGTGAAATCACAAAATGCTGAGCTGAGTATGACCTGACTGAGCAAAACTTTTACTCTCATTTTATAAAACCTTCCAAACACTTCATAACTGCAAAGTTTCATAATCTATAATCTCGTCCACATGTCACAGAAGTTGCTGCTCTGGCTCGTTAACACAAAGCCGTGTCTTCTAATTCTTATTTACAGTGTTGTCAAATGGCTTGTAAAAATTTTAGCAGTAATAATGACTATGATTAGATGATTAGAAATACTCCAAAATAAATTAGCAGACTTAATTAGTTCCCCTTCTAAAAGTGCAACACTTTACGCTCGACAGACTGTGCTTCTTCATTATCTCAGTCATTAAGCACCAAACAGAGGTTCAGTTCAATAGACTGCATAATGACCCTGAGCTCTGATCCTCTGATGTAACACAGATTGACTGAAATCTGACCAGCTGTTTGTTTGGGCAAAGTGAGAGTTCAATACCCTGGCTCAAAGAGCTGAGTTTTTTTTTAATCACAATATGCAATCATCAATAATCTGTAGCCTAATAGGCACGATATTTGGATAAAGACCTAAAGATTAAAACATTTTTAATCCATTTGTATCCTCACTTTGAAAGCTGAAAAGGAAAAAAGATGATAAAGTGTTAGAAAAAAAGCAAGTTATTGACATACAGTATGCAGGGTAAAGGCTGTTAAAAGAAGAGAGATGATCAGCTGTCTCTCTCTGTCATGCATCGTTGGGACAAGCAGACCCGGATGACAGGGAAACCACAGACAGCACCAGAAAAAGGAATGCAGAAAACTGAGAAGAAAAAGGTCTGGACTGACATGCACATAACATGAGGAGAAGACACATGCTCTCCTGCCCCATCCCTCGTCTCTCCTGCAGCACTGGCCCAGCGGTCACGTGGTTGGCCGGCCGAGATGTGCCTGCCAATCTGTGGAAAGCGCTGATGCGAGTCCAAACACCTCGCCAGATCAATAGCCTTCCAGTTAGAGCTGACAGCCCGCGAGGCTTAATGAGCCAGTCTGCAAACCACCACAGGCCAACCCAGTCCCCCAAATGAAGAGTGGTATTGGTGATCTTTACCAACAAGGCTGCAGCCAGTGGTTTTTCCATGTTTTAGCCTTTTGACTACACTTTGCTTATGTCTGGCTCATGCAACAGATTTATATACTTCCTGCCGGTTCCCAGTCATTTCAATGCGCTGTGAAATTTAGCCGGAAATAACTGAAATAACATATTTTGTATTTCAGTTTTTAAGTGGGGAGCATTTTAAAAACTCTTCATGGTGCATTCAAGGTCAATCTGAGGAGCAGCATTTTAAAGTAAACCTGCAAAAATCATTGCTTCTGCAGAAAAAAGAAAATACACATAACCCGCAATATAGCTGAGAGGGTCAGTGTTAGCTTTGCAATTCAAAACAAAAATAAAGGGAGGAAGTGCTACTTAGCATACAAACTATCCATATTTTCCCTGTAAAGTTCAATGCTTTGTTTATGTTTAAAAGTTAAATCGTTGGTCACATTATTAATGAGGATGAACTTTGTGCTTTGCATAACAGAAGTTTGGTGTTACAAGCTAAAACAGCACTTTTCAATCCGTAGGCGAATTTCATCTGCAGAAGTTAAGCTCACTGCACATAAGCATCAGAGTTTGTATTATGTAAAATATAAACCAACATACAAAAGAAGTAAACTTTAACTATATAATGATCGTCACTAATGGAAGATTTGTCCAGTAGAAGGCATTATGGGTAACTGTGTTTTTACATACCTGCATGTTTGATGAATTTTGACTACAGCAGTGTATATTTGAAAAAGGACCTGTTTTCCTACCATAAACAGAGTCCATACAAATCAATAAATACACATAAGGAATTCTTCCTTAAGAGTCTTTGATGATCTTCAGCGGCTCATTCTCATATGTCCTGGTTACAACGCAGAACGTATGAGATAGGATCGCTTTAGAACTAAAGAGGATAGACATTAAAGATTTCTAATAAAGACTGATATTTAAATTAATTTTCAGATTGTTTTTAAAACCACAAAGTTTCGAAATAAACTAAAGCTCCTGCATCAGTCGGGCTCTTTTAAAAATCTGACATCATCAGTTCAGAGTTTTTAAAACTGCTCCCACCTCAGATTTAGCAATATTAAAATAGCACATTTTATACTTTTACTTTGAAGTGATCTGAGCTGAATGAATAATTTCCTCTAAGGAACTCAAAACAAAAAAGAAAAATGGTTGCGGTGCAAAGAATATGCTATAAGAAGTTTAAACATGCAAAAGGCACAAGCAACTTTCAATTTCAATGCAATGGAGAGGCAAACAAACAGGTTTCGACTTCCTGCAAGAGAATCGCAACTAACTGACTGCTTTTGAAATAATCCCATGTTTCTCTTTAATATGTGGCAGATTTCTATCTAACAAAATCATGATAAAGGATTCTTTCAGAGCGGTGTTCAATGAAAACTCACTGGAAGAAGACGAGATGGCACTCAGACATACACTGACCACAAGCCAGGAAATGCGTCTGACGTTTCAAGATTTCTAAACGTTTATGAATGGAAATGGACACACATTTAAAGGATGCAAAATGGGCCTACAATCCCCGCTCGAAATAGTGGACTGACGGCATTCAATTTATAACTTGGCCTTTTTTTCTGATAAGCTAAAAGATCCGACGTTTCTTGTTTGAGCAGAAATCACTGAAGCTTGCTGTAGCGTGTGCATGCAGGGCTTGTTTTCACTCACTGAGCTGGGGAAAAGAAATGCAACATAACGGAACACAAACTTAGGACAGAGTAAAGGTGCTGGACTAATTAAAAAAAAGAAAACACCACAAACAAATCAGAGGTTCTCTTTCTGCAGGGAAGGGTGGTAGCAGCAGATGGGTGCTGCTGGCCTCACAGACCCAAAACTTAATGCTATCAAACACCTCAAGGGGCGAGTTCAGAAAGAAGATGCCGGATACTCTGAGCCCGTTTTGTAAAACTGATGCATATTCCCTGTCAAAGCTGTAGAAAATATAAATCAATAAACCCAATTATCAAACAGGGAGAGTTTGGAAAGCGCAGAGTAGAAGGTCAAGCTGGACACTAAACATGCTCAGTGAGTGACAAGGGTGGCAGTTTAACGTTGAAGGCATGATGAGGGGAAGAAAGAGAGAACATGACATGACGACAGGCCCATGCAGAACGGCCACTAGCCAACCACACTTCCTTCAAACCCAGAATAGGCGACTCTTCCACTCTTAAATGAGGCAAAAACATAGCAAAGGTTTTGCATTAGAGGGGTTGTTGGCTGAGCGTCTTATAAGACTGGATGAGTTAGTATACTCTGGGGAAGTGAAGAGGCAGCCACAATGGAAAGGGCAGAGTTAACCGCCTCAAGCCGAGAAGGGGTAGTAGGAGGAGGGTTGGGATGATACAGATCGAAGGGGGCACCTCCTCCTGAGACCCGCCCTGCTCTGAGCGTCCGCCCCCGTCCCCTACCCTCGAGAGTGATGGGGGGAATGATGCTGCTGCTGCTGCTGCTGTGGTGGCTGTGTTGCCGCCCTCCTCTTTCCTCTTTAGCCGTGGGATCCCAGTGGGTGCGGTGGCGGTGTTGGTGCTGGGCGAGGCTAGGATTGACGATGAGGCTCAACTCTGCATCGGTTGAGTAGTCAAAACAATCTGGGAGTCAACAACACAGATGAGGAAATGTGTCGCTTTAGTAGCAGCAAGCTTCAATCAATTCGGGCCTCATCATAGCCAGAGCAGGCCTAACTACTGTCTCTAAATTCACGGGTAGATCACAAGATATGGAAAAAATAGGAACTACCCCATAAATACTTGGTAAAATGGAGACAGTAGAAACTACAGGCACCATTTCGCTCTTCATCGTAACCAGTGAAACAAAGCACGTAATAGACAGGACAAGCAAAAACAGAGAAAAGAAAAGGAAAAAAAGAGCAATAAGGAGCAGTGAGTGGCACAAACACTGCAAACACAGACTATATGACCACAGTTGCATACAATAACTGACATGAAACACCATTTAGATGATGCTAATGGTGTAACTGAAGTACAGAGGAAACGGGTTTTCTTCTCACTGGAAAGGGGGGGAAAAAAAACACCAGAGAAGTCATTTTCTCACCAAATAGCTCCTTCTTGCGGGCTTTTATAGATCAGGGAAAAAAGTAATAACCTGTAAGATTACAGTTTAAATCATAACCATGCACTTGCTTAACTTTCTTCTTCAAACTATCCTCAAGTGCTATGGATAATTCATGAGGTTGATGAAAGGGCGGGAAAAAAAAAAAAAAGTAATCTACTCTGCGTCCAGATTTACTTCCTGCACTGCGGCCTGGCTCGCGTTCCTGTGTGCTGCAGCCAAGATGGCAGATTTTAAGTCTCACCCTCTCTCTTCCAGCGGTGGCGTCGTATCGAGGCGGTGGTGATGGCCGAGATTGATATACGGCTGATGGTGGGCGTCACCTCCACCTGCAGCACCTTGCGGCCCCGCGGTGCGTCGGGAGCGCTTTCCGGCAGCGAGTTTTTCATGGCGTTCCCCAGCTGAAGTCGACACATGCACAGGTGCAGATCAATAAACAATTAAAGGAGCAAAGCCAGGAGGTATAACAAGATTTAAAGCCTGGTTATGGTTCGAATTTGAGGACAAACAAACAAACAAAAAGGCAGATCAAAGCCATTATTTTACTTCATGGTTTTTATTTTGTCTCGGGATTTAATTATAGACAGGTGGGAGTTTACTGCTGTGCTGCAGGTCTTACCAGGAGAGGCTGGGAGTAAAGCTCCAGCTGGGCTCGGTACAGAATGTCCTCCAGAGCTTCTCGCCCCATCTCCCACTCTCCATTGTATCTGCAAATCACAACAAAAGACACACACACACACACCGGCATTTAACAATGTCATGCTGCGAGCCTATCTGGAATGTCTCACAAGGTGCCTTGACGTCTGAATCATATCCTCTAATCTATTATTAGTTATTTAGTAATGCCTGCAGCTACAGCGAGGGCGTGGTGGATAACTTGGGCACGTATCTAAACAGAGGGATTATACTCTCTGTCACGCTGTTGAAATGCAAGAAAATAGGCTAAAAATTTTTCCTCGCAGTGAAATTAAATATAAAGCATTTAGAAAAGCAAACTTTATGTCACACATAAATGGTTTTCACAGTTACTAAATAGAATACTGGCACATTAACGGCTGCTAATTTGTGTAAAATTGTGTAAATGCAGGATATGGAAACATATTATAAAATTCCAATTGAAAATCAGCAAAGACTGATAAACATGTATTTAACTTGAAAATGTCCAATAAATACTGAATCTTATCTTTGCAGAGCAAGATACTGCAAGATACTACCTGGACTGATGACCATGAAAAAAAAAGTACTATGGAAATAATAAATTAAAATTGCAAAAACACCAGGAAGTGAATGGCTGAACTCTTTGATGTGGTCCTGCAAACGCAACAGTCATGCGAGCGGGGACAAATGTTCTGGACTTCCTTTTAGTCTTAAGATCAAAAGAAATGGGATGAATGGGCAGGTAAAACAGACTCTGTGATGTTCACGAGGCTGAAAATTACTCTACAGTAGAATAAATTTCCAATCTGAACAGCACAAGTGAATGCTGTTTCTGTTTGTGATGTTCTGATATCCCAGCACATTTTGCTTCCTCTCTCGGCATTAGCGGCCATATTAACCTAAATCCCAGACTGTCCTCAGCTAGTGCCAAGTGTGAAGCTTGGATTCATGTTCATCTGGCCTTCACGTGAGTGAGCACTGAGGTGACCTATGGTAGGGATTACTAAAAAGGCCATTATTTTCTGTCATCTAAACTCACACTCACACACAGCCCTTTTTTTTTTTTCTCCTTTTTTTTGTGCATCGCCTGCTCCAACCTACTGATTTCTGCTCTGCATCCTCATGGAGGTGATGAGGCAGAATGCATGCTCATCCTCTCCCAACCGCTCTGCTACACCACTACTGCAACAGTAGTGATTCCAGTCACCATCGTATCAGGATATCCATATCTGAGGACTTGCTGTCATCGAGGAGCTATAATCAGCTTTGCAATGACTGTCCTCGTAGGGGATGAAATCACCTGCTTCCACAATGCGCTGCTGATGTAATCGCTCTCTACAGTGGGTAGCTTCTGCCCTTGGTGGCGCACTAGCATATGCTGTGAGGAGAATTTCTGCAGCAGCTCATGGCAAACTAGAATCAAGAAGACCCTCATTAGCAATGTTCCAGTGGCAAAAACAACATTATGTTGTGTTGCCCACAACGAGCAGCTGGCTACAGCCACAATAAATACAGAATCTCTTTTCAGCTTCATTTACACCATTCGCTCTGGCCTGTGCAGCTTCAGACTGCTCTCAGAGCAGTAAGGTGGTTGCAGCTCTGGAGGTAGATCGGGTCAGCTACTAATCAGAAGTCGAGTGTTTTTTGTTGGAAAAGGTCAACAGACATATGGGTTTGTTTACTAGTCAGAGGGTTAGTAGTTTGATCCCAGACTCCTCCAGTCAGCATAAAGAAATGCCTTTGGGCAAGAAACTGGACCCCAAACTGGACCTGATGCATTGATCCTTCATGAAAGTCAACCAAAACCGATTCTGGCTGTAGCGGGTAGCTAAAAAGCTCTAAAGCCAGCTCAAGACTAAAAATAGAGCTGAAAATAAGTGATAATGTTCCTTTATAACAACAGCATGTGTATATTGCATATATAACAAGTGATGATGCATGAAACTTGAAACAAACAAACAAACTTGAAACATGAAACAAAAAATCATAATATAATGAAATAAGCAAAAACCGAAACACTTTTCCTGCTTTAAAGACACGTACATGGCATGATACACTGCAGTCAGCATCTGCACCATGAACTCAGGGTCCAACAGCACTCGGTTGCAAGGTTCCCTCCAAAGCTTCTGCTGTTGCCGCGGGAAGCCGCATACACACAACCTGTGAATAGAGATTTTTACTGGTTAAACAACATCCCTTTAACCTCTGTGGAAAGCACACATCAGATAAGATGAGGCTAAATGGGAAGAACAACTAAAGGAAACATCAGACACTTCCTGAGGAAACACATCAAACACTGAGTGAGGGGAACAAAATCTTAACTTCTTGAGACTCATAGAAGGTCAAGCCAAGGTCAGCCAGCAGGGCGCTCACGTCTTTACTGTGAGGCTAAACTGAAAGAGTGAGTGCTGTTCTCGTGCTCTGAAGTCTTCACAGTCACAGTTTGCCATCTGTCTAGACTAGACTGAGCTTGCTTCAGGCGTTGTCTGTCTGATCGGTCACAGTAGGCAGCGATTCATATCCTGAATCGTCTACATGCTGCGGTGGAATAATTATCTGCGTCATATTGTAAATTCCACATTGATCCTTTCTCCTTAGGGCGTCTCAGTGTTTCCAAAATAGACAGATGGAGACAGGTATCCAGCAGTAAGGTTTTTGATTGGCCAAAAGCACAGTCAGTTCAACTCATTTCAAATAAAACTGCATTTATCAAATCCTCCTGCAAAGATGGCAGTCTGTACTGAGATATGGTTACACGGCCTATGAGGTGTTTTAATCCTAATTTCTGGAAAGCAGGTAATACAAAAAATGTGTCATTGCAGAGGCTGGTTATCACTTGGGTGGAGAAAATGCAAAACAAAAGAAGATACACGCGATTTTGTTTTTCTTACCGTGAGCTCATCCTACAAACTGACTGATAGGAAGAAAGGGGCATGTAGACCACAGCAGAGTTGTAGCAGAGCATGAGGAAACACAGCACCTCAAACCTGCAACCAAAAACACACTGTTAATGGAGTCTAATCAACTTAGTCCAAAAAAAAAAAGTTGGGGGAAAAAGGAAATATCACTTTTAATCAATATCATACCTTTAAAGTATGACACTTTCACTGAGAACAATTATGCAGCGTGGTTCAAGCAATTTATCAACTCTATGAAGTGTTAAACAGTCTGCTTGCCTAAGCACTTTTGTGCATTGTCAGCCAGTGTGCCGCTTGTAGATGCATAGCCTTACATACTGCAGTAATCGCCCTTAAGCTCTCCACAGACTTCTTATCAATGATGCAGAATCAGTGACACTAAAGATTTAAGTCATCTTGAACTCATAGTGGATAGTATACTTGTTGCTGCGGGTTCACCCAGTAAAGAGATTATTGTTAAAATATTTGGCAAACCTACGCAACTCAGAAGCTTTGACAGAGAGGGGCCAAGATTATACTAGCTTCTGGGCACAAGCACGGACAGTTGTGTACAAATAGTTTCTCCTGGAGGACACATGAGTAGATGGTCCATTTTAATGTAGAGCAACATGGACACACACACACACAACTGTCAGACACAAAACCTCACTTTACCCAGTGATGGCAAAATTTACATCACTAGGAGTCATGCATAAAACTAAAGAGGGTGGCGCTGTAGAACACACAGGTGAGATTTGGGTAGTATATGTACAAATTACTAATAGTCACTGAAAAGCAACTGTAGCATAAGTTGTGTGGGGGAAAGTGCTCTTCCTTCTAGAAGTTATGGCAAAGGCTGATCAGGCCCACATGTAAGCGTGACAAATGGAGCAGTTCTTATATATATAGCTTTTCTACTGTGATTGACCACTCAAGACACTTTCATACAACTTGCCTCATTCACCCATTCATATGGGCACTTTTTATTTTCTTAAATGGAAGTGCTTTCTATCCAACTTTCACACATTCTTACGAGCAACTTGGAGCCCAAGGATGATTGGCACGCAGACTGGAACAGACAGGGGATCGAACCACCAACCTTTATAGGGGACCTGCTCTACCTCCTAAGCCACAGCCACCCCAAACAACAACACAGAAACTGAATTATTTAATACAAAAATTTCCATGACAACAACTCATCCGTGACCCTCTGTGTTGTGACAAAACTGTTTGATAATTGTTTAAAAAAAATAGAGAGAGAGAATAAAAAGTTGGTGGTACTCAAATGGAATCGATACAGAACTCTCCCTTTGTTATTATTAGCCTTCAGCTTCCATATAGCATACTTTATTTCCTTAAGTGCATATTGAGGGAGGACAATGAGGAAGCCCTTGAATCTAAGTGGCCTAACTGAGTCTGTGTGCAAGGTGGATGTAAATTGCTTGGTGCTAGATCATCAGTAGCACTGAGCTGGCACCTCTCGGGAGCTTTGAGCCTTCTTCTCATAAACACTATCTCACGCCCAACTCAACAAATGGATTTCCAGATAAGCTAAGAGGCTTGGTCCTGCTGAAAACCATTCAGTATATTTATGATGCTCTGTGTTTATGGAAACCAGGGGGCCACCCTGCTCTGGAAAACACTAAAGATGATGAGTGTTATCTGTGCTTCCCCTAGATTATCTGCTATGGTGGTGTGACAAAACGTTAGCCCCCTTCCTTCCCCTGCCCGACCAAAATTACTCCAAGCGTGCATTGACGATTCAGTTAAAGTCAGAGTTCATGATTCAACAATAAGAAAGAAACTGGCAAAACTGGATTCCATTTCTGCCAGTTTCTTTCTTATCAAGGACAAAACCGCTGCTGACCAAAAAGAAGACAAAAGCTTGTCTCACTTTTGTCAAGAAACATCTTGATGATCCCCAAGACTTTTGTCCCATTAAATCTGGTATTTCAGGAAAGGAACATCATACCAACAGTGAAACATGGTAGTGGTAGTGTGATGGTTTGGGGCTGTTTTGCTGCCTCAGGACTTGGAAGACTTGCTGTGGTAAATGGAACCATGAATTTTGCTATCTAAGAAAACATCCTCAAGGAGAATGTCTGCCCATCTGTTCGGTTGTGCAGCAGGACAATGATCCCGAACACATTAGCAAGTCCACCTCTATGGCTTAAGGAAAACAAAATGAAGACTTTGGAGTAGCCTAATCAAAGTCCTGACCTGAATCTGATTGAGATACTGTGGCATGACCTTAAAAAGGTAGTTCATATGAAAAATCAGGAAGGGGGCAAATACTTTTTCACACCACTGTATATGTCACGGGCATTTATGTATATCTGCTCATTCTATTGCTTCATTTCTATGCAAAGATCACCATAGCAGCATAAAGTATTTTAGAGCCAAAAAAGCTTTCAGACCTGCCAAGTCTGGCCAGAGGAGGCTGGGCGAGCATCAAGGCTTACGATCTGATCATCTTAAAAAGGTTTTATAGATGGTGTACAATAAATAAAGTATTTTATTAATGAAAATAAATTAGTCAAAGTTTGATTCAGTATGGCGAGTTGCACCTTGAAAGACCTCTACCACTGCCACTGCCCCCAATTGAACAAACAAGGATCTCGGTGTGTATAAACTACAGCTAAACATCTAATCTAAATCTAAATCAGTACCTGTTCTGCGCAGTGAAGGTCTCTCTCTGAGGATGGAGGCCGCTGTACACCACTCTGATCAGGTCATGTTGACAGAGCGCTCCCTCTGTCAGTGCCATTGACCCCAGGCTAGAAGGCTATAAAGAAAAACAGTTCATTAAACATTTCCCAGCTGTGGCACCTTTATAGCATGACAGTAAATGATAAATGGCCCTTTTCTTTGTTTAAATGGAAAACTATAACGAAACTTTGTGAGGAAACGTGTTGAGAAAAATGGAAGAACCAGACTAGGTTTACATGTCACAAAAACAAACTGATGGGACAGTAGAGACAAAGTAATCCAGGTTGTTCATGGCCTGATGTTGTAATTTTTGTTGTTTTGTTTCATTCTCTTTATTTTTATTATACAAAAGAAAGTAAGTATTCACAAAAATTACCCGAGTTAAATTTGTTCATGTATTAGTTCATACATATCATGACAGAAAGCATGACTACTGAACAGTCGGTAAAGCCAATGACTCCTTATTTGACCATTTCATTAAATACGTTATATACTTAAATTGGTTCAATTCACCAAACTTTTTTCAAAAGGATTTTTTTTTGATTTTTTTTTGGTTAAAACTTTTGAGGGGCCCCGGAATTCTTGCATTTTTTTGGGGGAAAAATTCTATAAACAGAGCACTTGTGCATTCATGATCTTGTCATCATACTGATCATAAGACAAGACAGCAGAATTTGCTGTGTGGATCTGCTGTGTAGTTTCGCTGACCAAAACCCAAAGCCTTCAACCTCAATTATACAACATGAATTAGCATGTCACGTGGCCTTAAGGATCGTTTTATATCCTCAGCAATGTGACTGCTATATGGTCTGACAATTTTAACTTCCTATTTTAATCCTTGCCCTGTTACAGATCTGATATCTCTAGGTTACCATAAGCACAGAGGATAAACTGAATAACCAAGGTGTATTTCGCTGTCCAGCACTGTGTCATTCCAGAGACAAGCTAAGGTATTCAGGTTAACAAACAAAGTCATCTTAAATCTTCATGTTGAAATAAAAAGAGGAAGAGGTAACGACCGAG